ACATGCCTGAGGCATTTTCCTTCAGGTAAGTTAACTGGCCACTCACTCATTAAACGGGAGTGATTTTCTTACATTTGACTAATTCCTGCCCGGCCGGGTGGCTCCACTGGTTGGAGCGTTGTCCCTTACACCAGAAGGCCGCAGGTTCAACTCTGGTCAGGGCTCCATGGATGTTTCTCACATCCATGTTCTCCCCAAACCCCTCTCTAAAATCTATTAAAACAAATCCTGGATGAGGATTAAGACAAAAATTTTTTTTACTAATTCCTTAATTTTTATTCCCCTAGGAGCTAATAATGTGCTGACAATAATCCCTGGTGCTTAAGAATACTGCCTTCCACTAAAAGGAGGTATTCTTTATCGTGAGCAGTCACACCTGTGAGATTACAGAGCAGGCACTAGATGGAAACGCTACTTTATAACTTGTCTCTCTGTCCTAGCCGGCTTGGCTCAGTGGATAGATCATCGGCCTGCGGACTGAAGGGTCCCAGGTTCGATTCCCGGTCAAGGCTCAATCCCCAGTAGGGGGCGTGCAGGAGACCGCTGATAACTGATTCTCTCTTCTTCTCTGAAACCAATAAAAATATATTTAAAAAAAACCAAACACACTTGTCTCTCATTTCTTTCAAACTCTTAGTTTTCTTGAAAGTGATCCTATAACCTCAAGGGGAGAAGACTCAACAGCGTCTGCATGTAAACACTGGATTGAACACCTCTGGACATCGGTGGAATGTGAGGCATGAACAGAGGAAAAGGCAGTGCAGACTGTCCCTCGTGACAGGCTTTCTTCAGAAATACAAACCGCGTCTGGGGAGGAAGGCTCCTCACCCCCAGCCACTCCGACCGGCCGGAGCCGGAGCGCGGGAGCAGAACGGCTCCTTCTTCAATCACTGGCCGGGGAGCTGGGAGCTGTAACCGGAGAACACTGTAATCCCAACAGCACTTAATCCGCCAGCTCCCTCTCATTACTGGTAGGTGTTTTAAATTGTCCAGTTTCAAGCAGACAAAACACAAAGGGTAATTAGTGAAGATACAAGCAATCTGGGGGTGGGAAGGAGGGGTGTAAGAGGGAAAGACCAGCTCAGCCTTGACAGACAGAACAAAGGTGTTGCCACTTGAATTTCTGTCTCCATTTCCTCGTCATCAAATGTTGCCAAGCAGCCAAGCTAACTGAGCCGGGCAGCCCACATTCGGTTCAGCACCGAGCCCTCCCAAGTGTCTCCAATGCCAACATTGTAGCCATTACCTCCAGAGGCCCAGCTGGACGGAACTGCAAACACACACCCCACCTGTGCCAGCTCCTAATCAGAAAGGGAGGGAAGAGGAGGGCTCTTCCCCACACACAGTGTCCTGCTCGCTACATGTTAGCGACTGGAACCTCATACTCTGCAATTTTCAAATACAAAACCCAGGCAGTGGGCTAAACTCAGATTGTATCATCAAATTCTTAGCCTACAAAGAACCATTTCAGTGAGTTATCTTAAAATGTAAAACCTGCTTTTCCAAAAATGAGAAGTAAATGAGGAATATTACATATAACTTGTGAAATGTTTGAAACAAAAAAGAACTTAAGATTTGCTAAGTAGGAGGCTGCTCTTTTTTTTCTACTAGAAAAACATATACTGAGGGGATATAAAGCTATTGTGCTGTACACACATGCCTTCGTCTGACAATTAAGCTACTTATTACTTAAAGCACCAACTGTTAATTCTTCCTGAAAATTCCTGAGCTGCTCAAGACCAGGAGGACGTGTTTTCCCAGGGCCTTCACACCCCGAAACGCCACTCTGGGCAAATGTCACAAGACCCGGGCAGCCAGAGCCGGAGCGCTCTGCGGGGCGGCCTGCTCCTCACCAGCCCTCCTCCCGAGCCCAGCCTACGGGAAGCGCTGCTTACCCAGCTCTTCCTAAGCTCTCCACACAGGAGGGGCTTTATCCTTCACGTATGGGCAATTCAGTCTTTCACACACTGAAATTAAATCCCAACCTTTGAAATCCAATTTCCAAGTGAAACTAGGGATGTCAGTCCTTCCCTCAGATCGCAGTGGCCCAATCAATGGGTGACCGACCCTCCGTCTGGGGAAGGCCCCGGGCCCAGGACTGGGTGGAGCGAGCGTGCACCTCACAGGCGCCCCCTTCCTGTGGCTGAAAGGGCCTGCCACGCACTGGCTGGGCTCCCTGGGAACGTAGCCTGAGCTTGTCCTCTAGCTCCGTGGTCGGCAAACTGTGGCTGTTTGGCCCCTCGAGTGTGGCTCTTCCACAAACTACCTCGTCCCGGGCGAGTCTATTTTGAAGAAGTGGCGCTGGAAGAAGTTTAAAAAGTTTGGCTCTCAAAAGAAATTTCAATCGTTGCACTGCTGATATTTGGCCCTGTGGACGGGTGAGTTTGCCGACCGCTGCTCTCGTGTCCTCCCCGACGTGAGGCTCCCGGCAGTGATAGGCTCTGGCAGTGCTCTCCGATACAGCTTCACGCTTCCTGGAGACCCCCGTAAACATGGTCTAAGCAACCCCCTTCCAAATGGACCCAGGCTGCCCCGAAGGGCCTCCCCCAGCATGTCACTTCACCGTGTGCAGTTTCAGAATTTAACCCTTTTCTGGCTCTTCATGTGGATTGGAAGTTGGGGGGAAGGGGAAGGACGTTGTTACAGCTACACGTTACAATAAAGGGTAAGCTGAATGGCACCTGCAGACAAAGCTCTTCTTGGGAGCACCGATCTCCACCCGTAAGCGCAGAGGGGGAGGCGGCAGCAGCAGAGGCTGGGGGTGGCCCGCAGCACCCGGCTGTGCTCCGCCTGAAGGCTGGACTCCCGGGGCCTGCACTCGGTCTTCAGTCCACGAGGTGTGCCAGCGCCTCGCACAGCAGCCAGTTTATGTTAAGCTTCTAGCACGTGCTCCGTGTTGAGTCCAGTACAGGTCAGAGGAGGTGAGAAAATGGGGAGAGGAGTGTACACTCCCCAGAGACTGGATTGCTCCTGGGGCACCCAGAAAAGAACCAGACACACTCGTCCCCCCAGTTCCAGTTCTGCCCACTTGTCCGACACCGCATGTCTCAATCCCCAGGCAGGAACCGCCGGGGAAGGGTGGTGGGAATACGCCATCGCCTCAAAGGGTGACACTGTTAAGATTTCAGATCCAAAAATATGAAAAATACCAACTTGGAATGGAGGAGCCACCGCAGGCTGCCCAGGCGGGACCGCCGAGCGCTGCCGCCGAGGACGGAGCTCCCAGCGCTCCCTGCACTGAATGCACCAGTGTTAACTTTCATCCTTTTCCTTCCAAGGATTGATCCCATTTTAGAATCCTATTTCCCTAAACTGAAAAGCAAAATTGTCAAAAGCAGTGAGTCTTTGTGTTTGTCAAACATTTACCTACTTAAAAATAAGTTGTGTGAAGAAAACATGTTTTGTTGCTGTTTGATCTTTATTTAGGCCAAGGGAGGGCACAGCTCGCACTGTTACAACGTCCTATCTGTGGTCCCGGCCTCCTCCTCCTCCTCCCGAAGCTCCCATGTTCCGTCCGCGGAGGCTTCTCACCCTGCCCTCCTGTGAGGGTCTCAAGGAAAGGACGGAATTACTCTTTAACCAACTGTATTGTGGGGCTTCCCTGAAGCAGGGTAAAACCATGCATGCTCCAGTACAGAGCATACAAAACACACCAGCACACGTCTGTCTGGCGAAGGAAGCCCCTGTAACACACCTGCAGCCGGCTCACCGGGCTGAGGACAGGGGCCGAGGCTCTCATTGCCAAGGCTGATGAGCCCGAGTGCCTGCCTGCACCCTGACCCTTTCCTCCCTGAAACCCGGGAACAGAAGGAACTTCAGTGACTGCGTTTCCCGGGACCTGTGGTGTCTCCTAAAAAGAGGAAGGGGCTGGAACAATTTAAATGGATCTAAAAACGTCTCCTTTTCAGTAAGGCGCTTGTTTTTCCTGGCCCCTGTGCTCTCTTTGCAGTGTCCCCTGGGGGAGGAGGGACCAGGGGGGACTGCTCCGGCCACCAGCGCACTCCCCCCAATCCTGGGACAGCAAGCTGGGGGACACCAGGGCCCCTGACCAGGCAGAGGTGTCCTTTCTCCTCCCTACGGTGTGCAGCCTCCTGGGCTCTGGGCTAACGCTCGACCAGGATCCAGGCTGAATTTCACCCCAAACTTCCTAGCTGCTGCTCCTCAAAAGCAGGGTCCAATAAAGGGCGCCCAGGCCTCTCGCGCTGGGAGCGGCTGGGCTCCAGCAGTTTATTGCACCTGGAAAAAAAGCACGCGCACATGCACATGCACACACACACACACACACACACTCACACACGCCGTTACCGCCTTCGCGGAGGGAGGGCTGCAGCGCCGGCCGGAGGACGCGGAGCTGCCTCCGGGCCGCGCCGGTGCCGGTGCCGGTGCCGGTGCGGAGCCCGGGCCGCAGGTCTGCCTCCCGCGCACCTGGCCCCCCTCCCGCTCGGCCGGGAGGGCACGGGCCATCGGGCGGCTCACACGGGTCGCCCGGGAGCCTGAGCCGGCTAACGGCGCCGGGCCGCCAGGCTGCAGTCGGGGAGGAGCCGGACGGTGACCGGGAGCGGCGGCGGCGGCGGGGTCCGGGCTGCACACGCTGGAGCGGGTAACGGAGCGCGGACGGTGCGGGCGGAGGCGGCGGGAGCGGAGGCGGAGGCGACGGCGGGCACCAGGCGGCTTCGCGATCGACCGCGGGCGCGGGGCCGGGCGCTCGCGCGTGTCCTCCCGAGGACCTTCCACGGGACCCGCGGCCCTCCCGGCCCGGACCCCGGCCCCGGCCCCGGCCCCCGGCCCCCGCCGCCGCCGCGGGGCACACCCTCCGCCCGCGCCCGGGCACACCCCCGCCGCCCGCGCGCACGCGGCCCCGCCGAGCCGGCGGTCACGAGCCCGCGCCGCGGACGCCCGCCCCCGCCCGGCCCGGCCCGGCCCCGCGGGAAGGCGAGGGGCGGCGGCCGGCGTGAGGCGCCCGCGCGGGAGGGGAGCGGTTCTGGGGGAAGGTCACTCACCCGCTGCATGACTTTCAGGATCAAGGCCAGCTCGTAGCGGGGCATGGCCGACGCCGGCGGCAGCTCGGACCGCGGCTCGGGCGCTGAGGAGGGCGGCGGGCGGCGGGCGGCGGGAGGCAGCGGCGGGCGGCGGGCGGCGGGCGGCGAAGGCACGCTCGGGCCGCGCGAGCCCGGGTTTAAAGGCTCGGCAGCCGCGCACGCCGCGCGCCACTTCCCGGCGCAGGCCACGCCCCCGCGCGGGTCACGCCCCCTCCTTAAAGGGGCCGCGGCCCCTCGGAAGCCCCGCTCCCCGCGGCGAGCGGCCCCCCGGGGACCGCGGTGCGGCGCCGTGGCGCCGGGACAGCACGGAGGGCTCGGCCGGCCGGGCCCACGGAGGCCCCGCGCCCCTCAGGTCTCGCCGCCGCCGCCGCCGCCGCCGCCGCCGCGCCTGCTCCGTCGGGCGCGGGAGCCGCTGGAAATTTCCATGCCCTCTGTCCATCCCGGGCGGCGGCGCCGAGTGCGCGTGCGCCGCGGCTCCTCCGCGCGCCCCTCGCCCACGCTCCCGCGCGGAGAGCCGTCCCCGCTCCGCGCTCCTCCTCCGGGCGGGGGTCCGGGCTGTCCCGCCCCGGAAGCGCTCGGAAGTTCCGGAACGTTCCCGGCGGCTCCGCGCGCTCCTCGCTGGGCGCCCGCGGGCGGAGGAGGTGGGAGCTCGGGCGGCCTGCCACCCGGCCCCGTCCCCGCCCGGTCCCCGCCCCCGGCCTCGCCGCCGCCGGACCTCGCTGGCCCTGCAGCCGGGGCCGGGGACCCGGCGGCCCCCTCCCGGGGCGGCGATGCCACGGGGCGAGCCGGGAGCCGTGCCCGCACCCGCGGGAGCGACACGGGCGCCGGCCGTGTGAGCGGCGGGGCCCACGTGCTGCCAAGGGCAGGCTGACGCTGTGGCCCAAACCGCTGTCCTCCGTGCCGCCTCCAGTGGGGCCCGCGGGGGCCTAAGCCCACAGTCCGGCAGCGCGTGCCCCTGCCCGCCCCTGCGCTGGGCCTGGGCCACGGCATGCGCTTTCCCCAGCGCCGCCCATAGCCCAGGCCCCTGCAGCTGGGCTCGCCATCCAAAGGGTCTCCAACTTGAATGAAATGTGCAGCGATGACAACGGGTACGAGTTCCGCAGGCTCGCCGTGTATCAGGCCCCACGCTGAGGCTTGTGCGCGTCTGCCATAAAATTCTCAACAGCGGTATGAAGCAAGGACCTGTGATTATTTTTTAGTCCTTTCCCAAGCATATGGTGTTAATGGTATTTGAAGGGAGGAGGCCAGAAAGAGAGAGAGAGAGAGAGAGAAATATCTGTCAGTTGCCTCCCGTAGGCACCTGGACCAGGGACCAAACCCACCACGGGGGTATGTGCCCCGTGACCCCGTATCCTTTGGGTGTACCTGACGATGCTCCAAGTAACTATTCTAACCCCACTTGAGGGATTCCAAAATATAGGCACGCAAAGGTTATGTAATTGCCCTGAGTCAAACATGAATAGGAAAAAATACGGACCCAGACTATCTGACGGCTTAGTCCAGCCTCCGCTCCTCCTGCCACACAGTTTGGAGTTGTTGACATTATGCTGTGGACTTCCACATAAAACAAGGATAGAGTCCCCTTTGTCACCTTACCCGGTACTCACCACCCCATCTACTTCCCACCCCCACCGGAGGCAAGGACGGTAACCTTTTCTGTGAAATCTGGCTTCTAATATTTGGCTTCTCCATAACCCATTCTTCCAAAGGGAAACAGTACAGTATTCATTTGAGTTACCTGTTAGTGTGGACTACCTACACCCTCAGTTAAGCGTGGAATACTGTAAATAAGTAACAGAAGGAAGCAAGGCATTTCTGGACCTTGGAAAGTAGTTACAGGTTCCCCAGGGTGGTCCCCATTTCAACTGCCCCACGTCCCAGTTTAGGAATTAGAAAATACGGGCCCAGAAATAATATGCTTGCCCAACCTGATCCCTAATCCCCATTCATGAGTGAGGATCTGACCTCCCTCCACTCCCTCTAACCTGACAGGTGGCATAAGGAAATTAGCCTGATTGCATAACATCTTGGCTCCTCTGACCCTCCCAATCTGGTATGTACCCACCGGCTCCTTCCATTTCTTCTGAAGGGAGAGAGAGGGCATCTACCCTGATTTGCCCCCTTTGACATTTTTTTTTTAAGTTCAGCCCCAGACTGCTGGTGGGGCCATTAAAAATCCATAATCAGATCACAGGGAACGCTGCTGCAAATTTAGTATCTTCCTACTGGAACCACAAACTTCCTACTGGAACTACAAACTTCACCAAAAAAGATTTTTATACTATGCATACTCGGCACTCAAAAATATAAGACACTGCTGCCGAATCTAATGTATTAATTTTAAAGAAATAATTCTGATACTTAGGAATAAGTTAACCAAGGCAGTGAAAAATCTGTACACTGGAAACTATAAGACATTGATGAAAGAAATTAAAGCAGACACAAATAAATGGAAAGATATCCCATGTTCATGGATAGGAAGAATTAATATCGTTAAAATGCCCGTAGTACTCAAAGCAATCTATAGATCCAATGCAATTCCTATCAAAATCCCAATGGCATATTTTACACAAGTGGGGGGAAAGGCCTGAAATTCACATGGGATCACAAAAGACCCAGAACAGCCAAAGTAATTTTGAATGAGAAGAACAAGGCTGGAGGCATCACACCTCCTGATTTCAAACTATATATACAAAGCTATAGTAATCAAAAGACAACAACACTGGCACAAAAACAGGCAGGCCTGTGGACCAATGGGACAGAATAGAGAGCCCGGAAATGAACTCAAGCATGGACAGTCAACTGTTCTTGGACAAGGTCGCTGAGAATACACAATGAAGAAGCGTTAGTCTCTTCGACAAATGGTGTTGGGGAAACGGGATCTACAAAGCAAAAGAATGACACTTTATCATATACCACAGGCAAAGAAACAACTCAAAATGGATTAAAGCCTTGCACATAAGATCTGAAACCATGAAACTCCCAGCTTCCCGGCCCTGAACCAGGTGGTGGGAGTACCGGCCGAACCAACCAGGAAGGCTTTCCCTCTTGGGAGGCCTGCAGGGGCACCTCCATCCGGGGCGGATGCCAAGGGGGCATCGGGCTGGCGAGGACCAGCTCCCAGGGAATCAGAAAGGCCACGGGGAGGGGGAGGGGGCTTGTGACACTTAAGGTCGAGGGTCAGGAGATGGAGTCTCAGGGTCCAGTGACTGGGTGGTGGAGGGAGCTCGCAGGGCAGACGTCAGAGGTGTCCGCTGGTGTCTTCTCCAGAAACAACACTTCCTCTGTCCTGGTCACCCCCTCCTGGCATTTCCTCGGCTGCTTCCTGTCTTTTCTCCCGATGTCTTTTCTTCCTAGGTTTTCGTAGCAAGATCATAATCTCCCAAGGAAGGCTGCTCTAAATAACTCCCTCTTCAGGACTTGAACCAAAAAGAGGAAGGCAGAAGTCCTGGGGTCTGGGTGGCATCCACCAGCCGGTGACCTGCCACCGCAGGCAGGAATGCCGAGGGGAAGGTGTGACCTTCTGGGAAGGTCCACACAAGCATCACGTCAGAGCCGGCTCCGTGTGGTCCTCCCACCCCCGTGGCCGGCTGTGGATTCCTCCCGGGACATGCCCTCCGCACACCAGGCAGGTGGCACAGACATTTGGAGTATTACGCCCAATAATGCAAGTCCGCCTCAGGCAGCCGGCTGAGGCCTCTGTGGGTCGGCAGGGCTGTCCCTCCCCCGGGAAGAGGGTGGCAGGGAGGTAAGCGAGCAGGAGGCCGAGGGGACTCCAGCTGAGAACACGCAGGAAGTACGCGTGGAGACAGCAAGGCCAAAGCCCTCATGAGCAGTCCGGAGGGCGGATTCAATAAGGATGTCCTATTAGATCATCCGACATCATTTTTTAAAAATAAAGGTAATGGCAACCATGGCAGCACCTATCTATGCTGCAAAAACTAAAATATTTCTGCCCTAGTTGGGTTGCTCAGTGGAGAGTGTCGGCCTGCAGACTGAAGAGACCCTGGTTTGATTCCCGGGCAGGACATGTGCCCAGGTTGCTGACCCCATCCCCAGTGGGGGCTGATCCATGATTCTCTCTGATCACTGATATTTCTACCTCTCGCTCCCTCTCCTTTCCTCTCTGAAATCAGTAAAAATATATTTTTTAAAAAGTAAAGAATAAAGATTCCTTACATGCAGTCACAATGATTGGGACTGTTAGGCGAGGCCTCCCACGATAAGCGGTGAGTGCTCCCAGCCTGTACTTCCTCTTCCGGCCTGTGTATCCTGAGACCTGAGGAGACGGCGGAGTATCTCGGAGGTCAGCTCCCGACCTCCAGGTGAAACCGGAGGAACGGTTACTGACGGCGGCCCCTGGCCTCTAGAGAGCAGAGTCCCCAGAGCGAGTGTGCGGTGACAGTGCTGCCGTGACCTGTGCCCACAGGGGCTGGCACGGGCGGCGATGGGCCATTTACAAAGCTTTCGTTGTTTTCCTTTCCTCCAGTGTCGGCCTTGGAGCAGGACGCCGGCTCCTCAGTCACCATCCCCGTGAGTGCCCGGTGACCTCAGAGAGCAGCCCGCCAGGAGAGGAAAGGAGACAGCTCTGGGCCTGGGGAGAGAGCTGTGGGCCTGAGGGCCCGTGGTTAGAGCCAGAGGGTTAGAGCCTCCAAGGGAACAGGCAGGGACCAATGCAAATGCAAAGCAAATGCAAACCCCTCTCTCCACAGCCCAGGACTTCCCAGCCCCCATGCCCTCAGGGGCAAGTCCAGCCTCCGCCCAGACTCTGTAGGGGCCCCTGTCTGCCTCCTCGGGCCACTCCTCAGCACACACCGTCCGGTCTGCAGGCCCCCAGCCCTTTGCCCTCCGCCCGGAGCACACTCCACTTCCTTGTCCCAGCCTACTCCCGTCACCAACCCCCCTCACCGCCCCGTATTTTTTTAAATGCTTTTTTATTGACCAACAGGATTTAAGTCTCAAGTCTAAAGAATAGAAATGTGTAAAATGACAGTGATTAAACGTCT